AGCAGACTATATACTTGCAAATCAAAGTAAGCAGAAATGAAATATGCTCATCAGCACTAACAGGCTTACTTTTATCATAGGCAGACCTCACAGAGGCTGGATAAGAGGGTTTCAATTCCACATTGTACTCAACACCTGGAGGCAAGGTTAACAATGCTGGAATTTCTTCTCCAGTACAGGGCAATCCGGTTAGCGAGCTAACATCAAAAAGGCTCACAGACATGGTTCCACAGGGAAAATGAAATCAGTTGAAAGAGCCAGACCAAAATAATAGAGCCGAACCCAAGACCGGCTTGTCCATGTTGCATCTGCATTTGGTGAGTTGTATAAACTCAAACAAACCCACATCTCTCCAAATTTGGCCAAAGTCAGGTTCCAGACGATCAATCCAATCCACCCACTCTGATTTTCTCCAAACCGACTGTAAGGGCAGGTCCGAGGTGCCGCACCTCGGACATACGACAGTAATTCCTTTACAACCGGAATGAAGAGTTACATCTAGAACTCCCTGCTCGGACGACTGCATAGCAGTTACGATGGACATCCTCACAACAGATCCTGAATACCTTGCTGGGCTTAATTTCCCGATCCCGAAATAACTGCCTAAAGATACATATCAAATCCCGAATATCTTGCTAGGCTTAATTTCCTGATCCCGAAATAACTGCCCGGAGATACACACCAAATCCCGAATGTCTTGCTTAGCATGCTGCGTGGGTTCTTCATTGGAACATATAAATACCCCTCAAGGGTCACATCAAAAGGGGATAAAAACCAACCCTAAGCTCTTCTAATCTTCGCTCTATCGGTAGTCCCGATTATTGCTGACTTAAGCATCAGAATGTCTACCCCGAGATCCATCTCGGGGCTTTGCAGGTCAATCCGGAGTGCTGATACGGAGTAAAGAAGGACGTCTGGTTTGGTGCAGTTACACCGGCCAAGCTCCAAAAGAGCCAATCCATTTATTCCAGTCAGGCTTTACCTGAAAAGGGAGAAGATGTTCTTTGGGCTGTGGGTAAATGGAGGCAAGGGCAGCCGGCGGGTGAGACACAAAAATAAGGGCCCAAAATCTGAGACTTTTTGTGAGGAACAAAAGTTTGGTTTGAATGGCATGGCTTTTGTTTTTGGAGAATCTTGTTTATATCATCTTGAAGATTTTGGTCTTGGAAGATTTTAACTAAATCTGGTGGAGGTGATCTCAAGCAAGGAGTGGCCTTTGAACCGGCCATGAAAGCAGATCCGGTGGGCATCTCTCGGTCACTGGCCATGGAA